GGAGATGTTTATCCGGAAGAAATGAAAAAATATTTTTACAAAAAACTTTGTAGAGGAATGTTCATAGCACCTTTGTTATTAATGACCCCAAACCAGTAACAATCCAAACTTCCATCAACAGATGAATAGATAAGCAAACTAGTACATTCATGTAATGGAATACTAAGCAATAAACAGAATGAAGTACTGCTGATACACTCAGCATGGACAAATGTCAAAGACATGCTGAGCAAAAGAGGCCAGGTACAAAAGACATGCTGAGCAAAAGAGGCCAGNAATGAAGTACTGCTGATACACTCAGCATGGACAAATGTCAAAGACATGCTGAGCAAAAGAGGCCAGGTACAAAAGAGTACGTAATGTATGCTCCCATGAATTTGCAGTGAAATCCTAGATCAGGCAGAAGTAATCTACAGTGTGACAGAAAGCAGGTTAGCACCTGCCCAGGGCTGGTGATAGGGTAGGGATTGACTGGGACTGAGTATGAGGGAAGGCTTTGGGATGACAGAAATGTTCTTAAACTGGATTTTGGTTATACAGATGTATATGTTTGTCATTAACTCATGAAACTACTCTTATAATGAGTATATTTTATTATATATAAATTGTTTCATTAAGTTAATTTTTGAAAAATATAGGGGAAGTGAAAGGAGCTAATCTTTTATAAGCCAGGTGCTTTATATTATCTCATTTAATCCTCAGAGTTATTTATTAATTCAAGAATATTCAACAAATACTTTTTGAGGTTCTGTATACCAGCCTCTGTGCCAGGTACTGAGGATACAGTTGGGAGCAAAAACTATCAGTGTTTCCACTTACCATAATGGGAAGTTTATTTGGAAGAGAGACAGTAATAAAAAGTGTCCCTCAGGAAGGTGCTCTGAGATCATATAATACATTTATCTTTAGCATATAATATATTCTTTCGTGATACATGACATGAATACATATTATGTGGTATCTCTCATAATGAGGCACTTTCTTGGTTTCTTCATTTGTAACTACTACCCATCTGATAGGGTTGTTTTAAAAGTACTAAGTGACTTAATACATGTAAAGTGTTTTGACTGATGCTAGACAGGAAGTGCCCAATATGTATGGGCTGCTGTCTTGATGACATTTGACAATTCTAGTTGACACTTGTACTAACTCAGGAATCACTGGAGTGCAACCAGGTCTGGGGGAAGAGATTATGAGTTTGACAAGAACTGTTGGGTTTTAGGTGCTTTGGAGACACCCAAGTGGAGATGTCCTTTAGTCGGTTGTGGAGACTTGTTGGGTACAGCTCTAGAAGCAGCGGAGGAGCCTGGGCTGGAGATACAGATTTGGGAGAGTGTTCAGCATCTAGACTGAAATCTCCTTGAGCTTAGATAAGATCATCAAGAGAGAAACTATGTACACACATTCATACGCACATATAACAGAGTGACTTAGACCTAGATCTGAGTCTTGAGGAACTCCAACATTTAATTGGTATACCTTTTTAATAATTTTCTCTTTTGTTTAACATATGATTTACTTTCCTTTTTTCCTGCCTTCCAAAATATGAGCTGAAACAAAAGGAAATAGGAATAAAAACATAAGTTATATGAAGCAGGCAGAAGAGGTGGAGGTATCTAGGTTCTTGGTGACATGATAACCAGTGGACATCAGTTTTGACTCTTTGTTTCCATGCAACTGAGAGAAGAAGGGAATTGTGTTTAACAACATGGATTTCATTTTCTTTCCAAAAACATATATATTCATCTGAAGTGTCAGTTTCTAAAGTATTTGAATCACAGGATAAATGATAAGTATAACCTATTTCAAAACTAATCTATCACTGACATATGATCCCAAAGTCAGAATTACTTACCTGGAAGTAAATTCATATAAATGGTAAAAGGTAATTTATTTAATATAAAAGAGGAAATAAAGACCTAATACATGAAGTATCTAACACTTAAAAAATTACAAAATATCCTAAAATGGGAATTATTCAAGAAGACTGATTACCCAAAATACCAACCACCAATAATTTCATTCCACAGAAGTCAGAGAGTCATAACCTTTTGGTGCACAGGATGACACTCAACCCACTGAGCCACACCGGCCAGGGTGTGAAAATACTTGCTAAAAAAGTCCTGAAACATCAAAAAGGTTTGTGTTCAATATATTAAACTTGGTTATAAGAGGGTATAAACAGATTAAACAGCATATCCATAGGGTTAAAACAGAAAAGTTGTAAAAAAACAAAACACCAAAAAACTGAAAAGTTGTACTTAGTGGATTAATTTGGTAACTAGACTATTCTCTGTCTATTCTATATGAAATTTCACTAAACTTGTACTTTTTATAAGTTTGCTAAGTATTGCCTATTTAATTTATCATAAATTCTTATAACAGGTTTTAAAATACTTAATTTTGAAATATTTCCAGTGTACAGAGAAAGTTGAAATATTTTAGATTTAACAGACATCCATGTACCCACTACCCCGATTTAACAGGTATTAACATTTTGCCATATTTGTCTCAGATATTTTGTTTAAGAGATACTATCTTATATAAACAGCTAAAGAAGCCTCTTTTATGTGTGCTTTTGTAATCTGTAAGCATATAGTTATGAACAGTGTATACCATTGTGTGGGAACTTATGTTGGTAACTGCTTTGGAGACCAATTTGGCAATACCCAATAGAGTTGATGTTGGTCGTTGTCAATTATCTCATGATACATAAAAAACCACCTCAAAATTTAGTGTCTAACACAGTGATTTCTTATTTCTCTGGTTCTCCGGGTTGTCTTGGTGGTTCTTCTGCTTTTTTCACCTGTGCTCATCGATGGGACTGCATTCAGCAGGGATATTGGTTGGGCTGGAAGCTTCAAGATAGCCTCACTCACATTTGCTAGTTTATGCTGGTTGTCAGCTATAGTGTGTTGTTTCTCTGCCATGTAGCCTCTTATCTTACAATAGTCTAGACTGGCTTCCTTCTGTGGTGGTCTGAGGGCAGCCATCCAATAAACATAAGTTGAAGTTTCAAGGTCTCTTGAGGCTGGGCTCTGTGGTTTCCATGTGTTTTGTTGGTCAAAGCAAGTCACAGGCTAGCCCAGACTCAAGGTGAGGGAAAATAGACTCTACCTTTTGATGGCAGGAGTGGCAGTCACATTGCATAGGAGCATGGAAAGACTTGTTGCCTTCCTCTTTGAGATAATTCTACCACATTGTCATACTCTTCAAATCAGCAGTTGTACTCCTGTGTGTCCTGGAGAAACTCACAAAAACAGAGATACACAGTACAAAGTTTTTCACTGCAGACTTGTTTATAATAGCCAGAAAGTAAGACAATACAACTATCTTCCAGAGGAAAGTGGATAATAAATTTTAGTTTGTTCAAAGAATACCATATAGCATTTAAAATGAACTACAGCCTGGCCAGGAGTGGCTCAGCGGTTGAGCGTCAGCCTAGGATCCAGGCGATCGGGGTTCGATTCCCGGTCAGGGCACATGCCCGGGTTGTGGGCTCGATCCCCAGTCGGGGGCGTGCAGGAGGCAGCTGATCAATGACTCATCATTGATGTTTCTATCTCTCTCTCTCCCTCTCCCTTTCCTTTCCTCTCTCTGAAATCAATAAAGATATATTTAAAAAATAAATAAATAAAATGAACTACATTTATATGAGTCACCATAAATAATTCTAAAAATAGATTGAGTGACAAAATCAGGTTGAAAAAAAATATGGGTAGAATTATATTTACATAATAACTTTGAAGTTAACATTTGAAGTTTCTCATGCAGGCTAGTGAGGGTTTTGTGTTTGCTTTTGTTTTCAATCACAGTTATCTTTGGATGCCTCCTGAGAACTTGGTGCCTTGAGCGGCTTCCATCCTTAGCCAGCCAGTTAGGGTGTGTTGTCCTCTGGCAGGCTGAGCGCTTGTCTGGTCTAGCCATCATTAACAAGTCGGTGTTCAGTTTGTCGGCCATTCGATTGTAGCTGTCGGTGCAGCTCTATCAGTGTTGCTGGAAAAATCATCTTAGAGCACAATTCTTGACCGTGCAGACTTTATATCAGTTTAACTCTGAGTTTCTTTTCTGTGAGCGGAGGGGGGAGGATATGTATTCCATAGAGGTGCTGGGATGACTGGGATGATAATGCATAAAACATTTAGAGCAGGACCTGGTATAATGTAAATGCTCTGTAAACTGAAGTTTAAAAACACGCAAGCATATGGAATGGCATCTATGTTAAGTTCACTTTCAATTGTGTAGACTAGGTAGAATTACTTTAATTGGAGTGGGCTTCTGAAATTATGAAAGTCTATTATAATTAACTATAACTTACATTTTAAAGGGAATTTAAATCTATCAAGTTCTTTATAAAGTTCACTATCTGATTTTGTTATCAAGACAGCTTTGTAAGATAGTTATCTTCTGTCTAAGATAGCCTCCAAGTTTCAGGACAGGTTAAACAAGCAGTGGTAGTAGAAGGCTAATGGTTCTAATGAAAGCATATTAAAGTGGAAATAATGATACTATTATATTTTCATTTTTATGAGTTCTTTTTGGTTTCTGTGCTTTACCACTTAGATTCTGAATACATTTGGTTCTGTACTTTTTTTCATGTGTGTGAGGGAGAGGGAGAGAGGAAAAGGGGGAGGGAGGAAGACTGTAGAAGAGGGTTGGTTGTTTCTTAATGGACCTAGAACTCTTGAAAAAGGAGATCCAGAGTCTCTCTCTCACTCAGATCCAATAGTGTTGTTTGTATCCCCCACCCCTACCCCTAGGTCATATTTTTAAATACAGGGCTGATCGGCAAGATATATATATACATGTATATATATATATTTTACAAATGTATAAATGTTTTGTGGCAGCTAAATATATGCCAGGGAGAAGCGGGGAAAGGGAGAGCAAAATATCGATCAGTTGCCTCCAGTATGTCCGCCAGCCAGGGATGGAACCCGCAAACTGGGTATGTGTCCTGACTGGGAATCAACCCCCTACCTCCAACCAACTTAGCCACACTGACCAGGGCTGCATGTTTTTTAATTTTATTTCCTATTTTAGTTTATGTTTTAAAGGTTTAAGAAACATAAATTTGTGACTCTGCAACTTCTGTGGAATGAAATTATTGGTGGTTGGTATTTCAGGTAGTCCATTGTCTTGAATAATTCCCACTTTAGGATATTTTGTAATTTTAAAAAAAATAGATACTTCATGTATTAGGTCTTTATCATCTCTTTTATATTGTAAGTAAATCACCTCTTACCATTTATATGGTAAGTAATTTTGACTTTGGGATCACATGTCAGTGATAGATTACTTTTGAAATGGGTTATACTTATCACTTATCCTGTGACTCTGAAATACTTTAGAAACAAACGATACTAAATTTATTTTTCATTTTATTTTGTGTTTCAGAGTCTCTCTTGATTTTGGAAGAAATACCTGGTAACAAACATGACTGAGTTCTGGCTTATATCAGCTCCTGGGGAGAAAACATGTCAACAAACATGGGAGAAATTGCATGCGGCAACTACAAAGAACAATAATCTTGCTGTTAGTTCAAAGTTCAACATTCCTGACTTAAAGGTAAGACCGCACTGTGCAGAATAGCGATGAATGCATCGTGAAAGGGAGGACAGTGTCTCTGCTTTCCCTTTGGTAGAAATGGGATATCCAGGTTCCTCCACTAGCCATTGGCATAATTTAAAACCTGTCTTGCTCTTTCCAATCTTCAGATTTTAGATAAGAAGTAAATTGAGATTTTAGAAGTGAGCTACCAAAGCAAAGTAACATTTTTTCCTAAAAACTTGTGCTTTTCTAAATTGTAATCTAATTTGTAATGAGAAATCTTATGAAAAGATTTGATATATTACATTTACAAATATGACTTTGAAGAGGGAAAAATCGTAGTCATGTATATTCTTAAATGTCACAGTGAATCCATTTTTCTATAATTAAATTTATATAGTGCTTACTAATGTAAATGTTTTACCATTGCACCTCTTTAATTATACTTGGAAAATTTAACCTAATTGTTTAATCTAATTTAATCTGATTAACATTTATTAAATATTAGTCAGTAACCTAGCAGCCTCAAAGTGAAGCAGGCTGCCAGTGTAAACTTGACTAAACTTTTGTAAAGAATGGAAAGACCATGATAATTTATATTCTGCTGGGTAGCTAAGAAGTGAGGCAGTTAGTTATGCACAGCACTCATTTATTTAAGAAATACTTAAAATGACTGGTTTTTAATATCTTGGGAGTTACGAATTCCTTCAAGACACTGATATAGACTATGGACATTTCTTCCAAAACATGCTCATTTACATACATACATACAGTTTTGCATATAAATTCAGTTACAGACCCGCTCACGCACAGTCATGGCCCTGTGCTTAAGAGCTGCTGTTGTAAACCACGGCTTCAAGTGACCCACCGTCACTGGGCATACAGGCAGAAGCACAGGCCTGCCACTGCAGAATCATCATGTCTTAAACAGTGGTTGTACCCTGCATTAGAGGATTACCTGGTACATATAATAGCTTTGAGATGTCTGACAAACATTTTTTAACCACACTCATACATTATGAAATAAAGAAAAGGAGAACTTAAGTTTTGTGGGCCCTTCAAATTAAGATGTTGTATCATCTTGTATAAAAAAAAAGAAAAAAAAAAAAAGAAGTGAAACCTAAGTAATAAAATGCTATATTGCCCCTCTAGGTTGGCACACTGGATGTCTTGGTTGGTTTGTCGGATGAACTGGCTAAACTGGATGCATTTGTAGAAGGGTAATGTACTCATATGCACAGACTAGAGCAAAATAGAGTCACTGTTATCAGGCTACCTGGATATTGGGTTCATTGTCACATGGATACTGTGCTTACTGGAATGGTTTTAGAAATAATGACTCTTCTTTGTAATCAACTTTATGATATAATTTACATACAGTAAAATACACCTGTTCGAAGTGTGATATTATCATTGTCATGGAGACACATTTTACATATCATGCGATTCACCTATTTAAAATGTACTCTGCATTGATTCTTAGTGTGTTCACAGAGTGCAGTCATTACCACAGTCAGTCTTAGTATATTTTTACTGACTGCACATCCTGTTCACATTGGCACTCGCTGCCTGCCTCCCACTGCATACTAATCTCTCTGACAGTCTGGATTTGCTTGATTTGGACATTTCGTTGGAGTCATACAATATGTGGTCTCTTGTGACTGGCTTCTTTTCCTTAACAATGTTTTCTTTTTAAAAAAAAATTTTATTAAACCTAACAGTGAATGTTGTGGCGTATCATTTTCCATTGTGACAATTTATTGGCTGGCACCTGAATACAGTACTTCTTTTGAAAAATACACAATTGGAACTGACAAAAGAGAGAGAAACTAGTTGTTTAGTGATATATAAGGACAAAAAAAAAGATGATCATTAATTAATTTTAGTTTTCTTAGTATCTAACTATAAAATGGTTAAAGTTCCAAGCAATAATGCTGTTACAGTGCGCGAGAATATGACTATTATGTCATTCAGTCCCCACAATTCTGAGAAAATTATAAGGATTATTATACCTATAAAATTCAACCTAATAACAATGTTTTCAAGGTTCATCCATGTTGTAGCATGTATCAATATTTAATTTCCTTGTATTGCCAAATAATATTCCATTGTATAGATATACACCACATTTTATGAATTCATTCATTAGTTGATGGGCATTTAGGTTATTTCCACTTTTTGGCTAATATGAATAAAGCTGCTATGAATATTTGTGTATCGTTTTGTTTTTATTTTTTTAAATATATCTTTATTGATTTCAGAGAGAGGAAAGGAGAGGGGGAGAGAGAGAGAAACATCAGTGATGAGAGAGTCATTGATTGGCTGCCTCCTGCACGCCCCCGCCTGGGGATCAAGCCCGAAACCCGGGCGTATACCCTGACTGGGAATTNACATCAGTGATGAGAGAGTCATTGATTGGCTGCCTCCTGCACGCCCCTGCGAGCCCGAAACCCGGGCGTATACCCTGACTGGGAATTGAACCCCCGATTGCTTGGATCCTAGGTCGACACTCAACTGCTGAGCCACGCCCAGCCGGGCTGTGTATTGTTTTTGTATGCTCATGTTTTCATTTCTCTTGGGTATGTACCTAGCAGCAGAATTGCTGTGTCATAAGGTAACTCTGTTTTTAACATTTTGAAGAACTGCCAGACTTTTACAAAGTGGCCACACCATTTTACAGTCCCTCCAGCAGTTTATGAAAGTTCGGATTTCTCCACGTTCTAGACAGCACCTGTTAACTGTCCATCTTTTTTATTATAGCCATCATAGTGGATATGAAGTAGTATTTTATTGTGTTTTTTAATTTGTATTTTTCTGATGGCTAATGATGTGCTGAGCATCTTGTCTTGTGTTTATTGGCCATTTGTGTTTCTTCTTTGGAGAAATGTCTAGTTTGGATCCTTTGCCAATTTTTTAAAATTGCCTTATTTGTCTTTTTATTATTGAGTTGTAATAATTCTTTATATATTCTAGACACTTATCAGATGACTGGCAAATATTTTCTCCCATTCTGTGGGTTGTCTTCATTTTCTTGATAGTATCCTCTGAAGCACAATTTTTTTTTTAATCCTGAGGATATGTTTATTGATTTTAGAAAGAGAGGAAAGGAGAGAGAGAGAGAGAGAGAGAGACAGAGAGAGAGAGAGAGAGAACAGAATGAGAGGAGAAACATCGATGTGAAAGAGAGACGTCAATTGGTTGCCTCCCGTGTGCACCCTGACCGGGGACCAAACCTGCAGCCTAGGTGTGTGCCCTGACCGGGAATTGAACCTGCCACGTTTTGATGTACAGGACAGTGCTCCAACCAATTGAGCCACCTGGCCAGGGCAGCACAAATTTTTAATTTTGGTGTCCCATTTATCTATTTTTGTTGCTTACTCTGTTTTCTTCAGATGAGAATATTTGTTAGCCGCAGTTTCTCAAGACTCCTCTGGGTTCAGGACAAAAAGTGGGGCCATGTAGTTTGTTTAGTCTGTAGAATTGAAAGTTACCTGTATAGTTTGTCAGCTTTTCTCTGCACTGTTACGCAGCCTTGTCTTCATCAGTCTTCCTGAAAGATGGGAGGAATTTAAAATCATGTGGTTGGTGGACCTTGGTAGAATTGACGGATGATTTCTCACTGACTTCAGTGTACCAGTTTTTAAAGTCTAAACATTGTGCTGTATGGAATAAATTATAGTTTATTCTGTTTTAGTAATTAACCATGATAGCAGATTTTTTAAAAGGTGGCCATGCATATTTCGACGTAGGCTTGTAGAGATGGATAGGGAGATTGTGAAGTTCTGAATCAGTGTTAAAATTTATAGATTTGACAGCAGAAAGTTCTCTATTTCTAAGGTAAATGTGCACATTTTTTAATGTTCATAGCAAATGATTCTGTTTATAGATACTTCTTAATTGGTATGGGAATAGTAGTTTGTCTCCTTTGGAGGAAGAGGTGAGTTCTGGAGGCACAGCCAAGTGTACGTACAAATCCCACATTTAAACATGTTGAAGATTTATGGCTTTCCTTTTTTATCTGAAATTTTTCCACTTAGGTTGAGGCCATTCAAGTTTCGCCTTTCTGTCAAATTTTCTGGTCTTTATTATTGGTTCTTGTGCAGGAGTTTCTTAATTTGTCTTCCAGTGTGCCCTCTGCCATTGACATACAGTCAGCAGGTTGGCTGGCACCCTGTTTTGACCATGTTCTCTCTCTCTCTCTAAGTCTGCAGTCTGGCCCCAGCCCACCTTCCTGGTGGAACTTCCCCTTTTCAGCCTGACATTTCCAGGCAGCCTGGGCTCCTCCTCTGAATGCCGGTGACTTTGCTCCCTCTCCTGGCCTGGGCTCGTATGCTGCCCTGTGGCTAGAGTGCACTTGCTCCCTGGCGAGTCACCCTTTCATACCCGCTCCTTTCCTTTGGTACCCATTCAGGAGCAGGAGTCAGTCACAGTAGCTGGGAGTCACCCTTTTTCCTTCATGCTCCCTTCTCCGTAACCTGGGAATCTCACCTGGCTCTTACCCCAAGTCACCTCATATTTAGTCATTTCTATGTCTTGGTAGCTCTCCAATGAGAAGTTAGTGGTTTTGTCTTGTATACTTTGAATTTCACTCAGGGCCTTGAGGCACACATGAATGGGGGAAAGGACACCAGACTCCGGAGTCAGGACACCACGTTCCTAGTCACAGGTCTGCCACTAACTGGTTTTGTGATTCTGTGACTTCTGCGACTAAGTCACTCTCTTTATAACTTGGTGTCTTATAAAATGAAGGGATCTACAGGGTGATGTCTAGTGCCCCAGAAGCTTGGCACTAAGTTTTTTGTATAGGATTGCTCCTTGCAAGTGTTGACGCGTCATTACTGTTGTACTCCGTGGCCTGCGGACCCCTTCCATCCTCAGTGAAAGCACATGATGGGTGAACGCTAGCTAGCTCTGCCTCCTCCTCTGTTCTTGGTCCTTGCAGCTCCCTTGCCCAGTTTTTCAGTTTATAATATGTGGCTATTTGTAGACTATTTCTCACTACTTTTTTTCCAGACTAATAAACATGTCATGTAGTCCCTTTAAAACTCTATAGTTATTCAGTTGAGTTTTGCATAAAATAAAATTTTGGTCTATTTTATCCTTAAAACATTATAGGAGTTAGGACCCATTTATTTTATATTGTATAGATATGTGTAATGGGAACATAAATAGTCAAATTCATGTCTTTATGTAATGTGTCCATTGTATAGCATGGAATTTAGGTCTTTTTCCTGAAAATGATTGTTGATTTTTTTTTCTCTCCCAAGGGTGGTTAAGAAAGTGGCTCAATATATGGCTGACGTATTGGAGGACAGTAAAGATAAAGTTCAGGAGAATCTGTTGGCAAATGGAGGTAAGCTAATGTCTCAGGATTTGATGTTGACTTGTACAGAGTGAATGACTAAGCTACAAAAACAAAAAAGGAATTTAAAAAGAAATTTATAGATAGGATATTAAATATAATAGGTCATTAAAATATAATAACTGAATAATTACTGATACTACTAGTTAATTCATGTTACTTAATATAGTCCCAGATTTATTTAATCAGAATGTTTTAGAAATGATGACATGTCTTGACTGATTTTCTCAATGCCAATTTCAACATTAAAATCTGAATGTTTACTGTGTAGAAAACTACAAAAAATTCTGTTGCTTCTCCTCGGTAATTAACTTATTTCCTTATTTCAGTCGACTTGGTTACTTATATAACAAGGTTTCAGTGGGACATGGCTAAATATCCAATCAAGCAGTCTCTGAAAAATATTTCTGAAATCATTGCCAAGGTAAGATAAGAAATGATACAGGTAGGACATATTGATTTATAGTGGCTTCATTTATTTTATAAGTATTTAGCTATGGAAATACTCTAGGTTTTGACAAGGCAACTTAATTATATGTGATTGATAGAAACAGGAGGCACCCTTACTACTTTATTAAAAAAGAAAAAAAAAGATGTTAAAAAGTATAACACTTTCATATGCAGATTATCCAAATTGTGTAGTTTACTTATTTACTTAGTTAAATACTGCATCAACAATGCTTAAATAAGAAAAGAAACTTTAAAATTCTATAACTATTATTTATACAAGTTTTAAGGGTAACTGAGGTCATGTAGAACAGGAAATTGGAATCTGTTAAGGATTTATGAGTCATGTAGATGGCAGTGGTCGCTTAAGTAGGTTTATGTGCAGTACTGATTTAGACATTAAACTTTATGTGTTCTCTAACGCCTTCTGACATTCAGTATTGCTTCTCTACCCAGAAAGATGCTGTGTTCATATACCACATGATTTTACGTACAGTTTCAGGAAGTACATAGACCCTGAAGCCCAGCCATGAACTCACTGAGTTAAAGGCTCCTTTTATGTTGCAAAGTCCTGGAGCTTGAGAGAAAATGTAAAAGTCTTACCTGAAATTATCAGGAGGCAAATAGACAAAGACCTATTGTTTGTCAACATTTTTATGACCTGGAAAGAGTGAAAAGTATGGTTTAAACTACTTGGACAGACTTTCCTTGACTCGCAGTGACTTTATTTTTATTCATGTGCTCTATAGCGAAATGTAACTGAATAGATTATCAAGAATTTTAACTAAAGTCATCATATAATTTAATGAAAATGAGGTTTGATAATATAAACTGGTTCTTACTGTGACTGAGCCTTATTTTCTTTTGAGCCTTATCAAAGGTGCAGTGTTCTTCTTAATACTATTGTAGATGAGGAAACAGGCTCAGAGAAAGCGAAGGGACTCACCCGGTACCTCACAGCTGATAATGGGAGATCTGAGTTGAAGCCAATTTTTCAAATATCCAATCAGGGTGTCAGGATGGCTGAGTGGTCTAAGGCGCCAGGCTCAAGGTGCTCAAATGTGAAATCTACTGCTTTGCGTTTTCTTCTAAAGTATTAGTAGTTTTAGTCATCTCTCTGAAAAATCAGCTTTTGTAACATTTATAAATAAATTTAACTACAATTCAGATTACATTGAGAAAACATTTTGTGTAATAATAGTGGAGTTTTGGACAACAAAACTCTAATTTAGTTCCTTTGGGGAGTTAATCCTTCAGCCGTATGAATTAAAGCCTTTTAATTAGTAATCTCTAACCTGGTGGCCTAGATTCCATTTAGGTTTAAGGAGTAATACAGTAAATAATTAAAATACATGTGGACTAAAACATTATCTTTAGTAGAAAAAATTCATATGGAAATTACCATGGTTATTACAAATAAAGTAGGCTATTTTAAAAAATGGCCTCTTAAAGTTATGCTTTTAAAATAGAATATTTTTACACCAGGAACTAGTAGTTGTGTTTGTTTTTTTTAAAGTTAGTGTTTCAGTACAGCTACTTTAATTGTATTAGTAGAGGTGGGTTTAGGAAAATCTTGCCCTTTTTTTTTTTTTTTT